ACTGACTGGAGTTGTCGAACTGCCGGGGTTTTATATAGCGATGCGAGGACTTGGCTGCCCTTGTCGGCTGGATACGGCTGGGTTGTGACCTAGTAGTATCCGGAGGATGTTGTGTAGCGCTAATTTCCAGAGGGTAGAGATGGTTAATCGACCTCTTGACGTGATTGCCGTTAGGCAAACGAATGGTAGCGCTTCTGGGCACGCGATCGCTGGTGTAAGAGAGTTGAGTAATGACCGCTAATGTCCACTGTCCTCTGGGTAGCTGTTTATCGGCGAGCAGAACAACTTCTCCAACTTGTGGTTCGCGTGACGTTGATCGACCTTGACGGATGCGAACTGTGTGACGTTGTGCAACTGCGTTGAGGTAGTCTGTGGACCAGATGTTCCAAAAGTGGTCCAGAACAGACAAAGTGGAAAAATACCACTCGACTAGATGTTGCTGAGTGTAGTCGAGGTGAGGAGTTTCCGTTAGTTCTAGCTGGAGTTGTACTCGAGGTGAGAGGAAGTCTATAGGACGAAGTACCGTTGGCGACGATATTGTGTCCGAAATGGATGTAATGGGTCGCGAATTGACTATAGCTTCAATCTCACAGATGATCGTTTGAAATTGTTGTAGTGGAATTAGTGAGTGTCCGATGGACTTCCGGAATGAGGATTTGACGAGTGCGACAAGTCGTTCGTAGAATCCTCCTTTCCATGGGGACAACGGTGTTATAAATTTCCACTGGATGCGGCGACTGGAGGAATAGTTCGAAATGAGTTCTTGCAGGGTATGATCTGCTGCACAGAAGGTGGAAGCGTTGTCGCTTAAGATGAGGTCTGGAACGCCTCTACGAGCGATGAAACGTCGGAGTGCAAGTAAGAACTCTTGAGTCGTGTTGTCCAAAACGATCTCTAAATGGATTGCTCTCGTGGCCATACAGGTAAAGAGAGATATCCATAGCTTGGACGATGAGCTGAAGACATCCTTGTACCGAAAGGGACCAAGATAGTCCAATCCGATATTCTGGAAAGGTCTTGATCTTGTGACTCTTTCCGGTGGAAGACTAGGCATATCCGGGTAACGATAGGGTAGTCCATTGATCTTCTTGCAGATAATGCAGCGTCGAAGGACTTTGGCCACGGTGCTCCTGATAGATGGAATAAAGTAGGAACAACGAAGTGTGGCAATGGTGGCATGAACTCCCGAATGGAATTGGGAAAGGTGAATGTGACTTATAATAAGTGTCGTCAAGGGATGTGATGGAACTAGTAGTATAGTTGAAGACGTGGTGTCGAATGCATGTTCCATGCGATGCGGACAACGAATAAGGCCATCCGTTGAACGATGGGCGTTGAAGCGTTGGAGCGGCATACGACTAAGAAGGATTTCGCTTTCTCGGTAATGCTCCTTGAGCAAGAATATCTCGGCGGTAGTAAATTCTGTCGTAGAAATATCCTTGGTCAAGTTGAAGTGAGTCGCATCGAAGGTGTTCAGAGTAGCCTTGATCTTAATGGCTAAGTGTGCGATGAACTTCAGAGCGTAGACTGTAGATCGTACTAGTCTATTATACCGACTAATGGACCGAAAACGAAACGGTGATGTGTACTGAGATGTTCCTGACACAGTGAGCGTCTTGTATTCGTTCTGTACTTCATCGTCGTTTGTTGGCGGTACAGCGAAATCGTAATTCCCTGGCCATTGCGAAGTTGGTAATCGTAGGAATGCTGGACCTGTCCACCAAATATGGTTATTGGCGAGGCTGGTAGGTATTCCTCTTGACGCGCAATCGGCGGGATTGTTTGAGACTGGACATAGTAGAATGTATACTGGAATCGAAGCTGAACGAAGCTGCTCCACGATGGATTGAATCTCCGTAATCCTGTTCTTGACAAACGTACGGAGTGGACGTGACGAATGGATCCAATGTAGAACAATCTGCGAGTCCGAAAACACGTGAACAGCTGAGATCTTGAGGTGTAGCTGTGAATATACAAAACGGACTAGTCGCAAACTGATCAGCATGGCTAATAATTCCATACGGGGCATGGTGACCGGTGTTCGTGGTCCGAGAAGAGATTTAGCCATTAGGAGATGGATCACTGAAGACGAACCAGTGCGGCAGAGGAGGTAGACGCATGAAGCGTAAAGACGTTTAGATGCATCTCCAAAGACGCAGAGCTCGTAATCGATTGTCACTTTGGATCGTGGTATAAGACAGCGAGGGACCGATGGTATTGGATCAACGAGGTCCTGAATGAGCTGGTTCCAGCGAGCAAGATCTTGAGCCTCAAACGGATCGTCCCATTCGTAAGATTTGATCCACATGTCCTGCAGAAAGATCTTGAGCGGTGCAAGGAATGGGGACAAAAGGCCTAAGGGATCGAATGTCGAGGCGAATGCTCTTAATGCTGTACGTTTCGATGTGACCGTCTTGCAAATAGTCCTAATAGGTATGCTGAAGACATCGTGGGTTACGTCCCATTGTAACCCTAACAAGGGAACTGACGACTTATAGGACATACGGTCTCGAGTGCTGATAGCATCGTTAACACGCGAAGAATTCGATAGGAATTGGCGTAAGTTCATGTTCATAGAGGCGAAGAGTGCCTTCGAATCGTGGTATTTCCGTATCGCTTCTTCAGGTGAAGACGCTTGTAGCAAGATGTTATCGACATACGTATTGTCCTCGATCTCCTTGTTAAGTTGGGAGGATGGATCACGGCGTAAATAATACAGGATGGTAGCTGCAAGTAGGAATGGTGAAGCCGTAATTCCAAATGGGACTCGTGTGAAACGGAATATCCTGAGGTTAGTCTCTGATGGTGGAGATGACGTGTCCGTCAACCATAGAAATCGCGTGGCATCCCGTTGACTAAGTTGAAGTCGAATTTGTAAAAAGGCTTTTTCTACATCGGCGATAAGAAGAATAGGAGTGAGACGGGAACGAAGAAGGATTCCAACAAGATCCGGAAGGATGGATGGACCGGGATGGAGACAGTCGTTGAGACTCGGGGCTCCTTTATAGTGTGACGAAGCGTCAAAGACAACTCTGAGCTTGGTGGTAGCTGACGACTCTTTGATCACGGCTTGGTGAGGAATATAGTAGACTCTATGGTCGTCGAAACGGTGTTCATCGACTTCCTCGATTATTCCTTTAGCCAGATAGTCGTTGATCGTCGAGACGTAGAGTTGCCACAGATCTGGTTTGATGACAAGAGATCTGTATTGGCTTTCGAGTCGCTTAAGTGCAAGGAGCTTGTTGTCGGCTAGTCTCGGATGGGATGTTCTCCATGGGAATTGAACATAAATGTGTCCATCTATCTCTTGTACAGTGTCTTGGAATCGTTGTAGAATTTTGGAATCTTCTTCTTGATCGAATTGAGGATCTGGGTCATCTGTGATACCGATGATGTCTAGATGGTCGAAGCGGGAAACAGGATCGATATCTTGAACAGATGAGACAGATTGGGGATTAGTGGGAAACTGTTGTAGGTAAGCCACGAAAAAACTTCGATCCCGAAATGGTTGGACCGAAACGCGTATGGCAGAGAACTAAGCCTGATGGAAGTGGCTGAGGACTATCTGATGTAACGATGTCCCAGAAGTAGTCGATTCCTATTAGAATATCCGGTGTAACAGCACGGCTCGCAGTAAGAGAATTGACATTGATGGCATGATGTTGAAGAGCCTGCTTGTCTTCTCTAGTGAGACTGGCTGATAGACACGGGACGGTCAATTTGTCTTTAGTTCGAAGAATAAGCTGAAGACTACATCCTCGGTTATCGAGGAGTGTTACGTCGATCATTCCCGACTGCTCTGTAGTGCGAACTGCTCCGAATGTAACAGTCGTAAGAGGGGTGGTATAGCGGACCGTGATATGAAGTCTGCTGACTGCGTCCTGAGAAATGAAACTTCGTTGTGCTCCTGTATCGAGAAGGAGGATAACTGGAACAGAATCTCTAGTTTTCTCGTCGACTGCAAGAGCTTCTACTGTCATTAGACTCGATGGAATAGAAGTATCTAAGGCAGTAGAGACTTGTGTTCCAAACGGTTGTTCAAGATGACGCATAAGTTCGTCATACTCGTCGTCTGAATCAGCGGCAATGTAGACTGGCGATTCGTGTTCTGTCGTAGGTTCCTGTTTTGGAGCACTTCGCGATGGAGGTGTATTGTCGCGAACCGGAGAGCGAAAACGGACCGTGTGATGTTGCGTACGTTCAGGTCTATCTGATCCTCTATAACGCGGTGATGGACTTCGATAGTAGGATCGTCTAGGAGAATAAGAACTTGAACGAGACAACGATCGCGAATAACTCCTTTCGTATGATGGACTTCGTGCGCGACTGCGCGAAGGACTCCTTGACATAGAACGATAACGATATGGATCGTGGTATCCTCTTTCTGTGCTGGATAGGCGGCTTCTTCTGCCAGTGTGCATGCAGAGGAGCAGATGGTGTCTGCCATTACAGCGAGGACAATTAGGACGTGCACAGTTGGGACTCATATGTCCAGGACGAAGACATTTCAGACAGAGGCGGTATGTTCGGGCAATGATACGACGATTTGCTGACGACGTATAGTGATAACAGTGGGTGGAATCATGGTTACGTGAATAACAGAAGCAACACGTCCGTGGATCGTACTGTGGCTCCGGTGTTGGCGATCTGGAGCGAGTGGAAACAGGATTGATGTGGAATTCTGAATTGGACGTGACTCCTGTGTAGTCATCCAATTTCTCGTACTCCTCTATCACTTCGTTGAGTCCATCCAGGAGTTCTGACAGTGTCCAGGTTTTGCCTGATCGGTGTTCCAATCTGTTCACTTCCAACTGAGTATCGCGAGGAAACTTGGATTTGACAAGTTTCTTGAGAGCTAGAGAGGTGGTGGTGTCTTCGAAGCGATTGAGCTGCAGAATGAAGGACTGAATCTGGCACAGAGTATCACGTTGCTTCGATGATGCTGAAGACGACGTCTGTAGTTGTTCAAGTTTCTGATGGAACAAATGATGAGTGAACTGCGGACGATCGTATCGTCGACGGAGTGCATTGATGGCGAGATGATAATTATCAGGCTGTGACGGGTCATAACCTTGAATTATCAGCGAAGCACTTCCTTTGAGCGAGTTCGTCAGGTAGATAAACTTGGTTGGCAACGACAGAGTATCGTTTTCGTGAACTGCGGTTCGAAATCTGCACCAGAAATCGTGAAACTGCGTGATATCACCGTCGAAGGTAGGTAGCTCAACGCGACGGAGTTGAATTGGCTGGAACGATGGTTGAGATACTTCCTGAGGTGGAGTCGTTGGTGTTACGTAAGGAGGTGAATCCTGATTCGCTGAAGACGATGGATGGTCAGTCTGACGTGCTGGATCTGTGACAGCCAAATTGGCTGTTTCCGTAACCATCTCGTTGTTAAGCTGAGAGACAAGTGAAGTATAGATGTTCTGATCCGCGATAAGTTGAGTGTCGAGGGTGACAACGGTATCCTGCGCCTTATCGAGAAGCTGATCACCTTGTAATTCTGTCCAGAATTGGTCGATGTCTTCACTGACTTCCATACGATTCTGCTGTGTCTGCACGAAGAGTAACAAGGCGTGGTAGCGTGTTCGTAATGTTCCAAGTGCTCTCTCCAGGGCTGCTTTCGCCTTTGAGATGTCCTGTTTACGGCGCGATATTTCTCGAAGTTGAACTTCGGGCGTCGTTGTTGTATCGATCGGCGCAAGGTAGCTGGAATCGAGTACGGAAAGGGTCTTAGAAAGCATACCGACAGCGCTAGTCGTCCTGTTCTTGTGGTCTTGAAGTGTGGACATGGCGAATGGTATGGAACGGTTGACAGCGGAGTTGTCTGGAAGACAGAATGTAGAGGTGTTGTCAAGCTCCGTAATGCATTTCAATGGCGTAGGCGACACACAACGCAACGGATCTGCGGAATACTTCACACGGCGATGTTGCTGACGACTAGAAGAATCGGAATAGGAATGGCGAATGGATCGGTCGCATGAGGGGACTAAGAGAAAATAAGGAAGAAGAGTAAAAGACTAAGAAAAAGAAGAAGAGAGATAAAGGATGCGAGGATTGGGCTTAGGCTGCGAAGGAACATAAGAGTGACGTGTGATAATGGGAACTACAAAAGGGGGTAGGCAAAGCGTACGTATGATAAGCGGGTAACTGAACGGTGGAAATAAGCACATATTAGCAGACGCCACGGTCTAGCGCGTGTGAATGCGCGGTTTGGGTCTTGCTGTGGGGCTCCAGCGCCCTCAATGGGCCCCCCAGGCGGATACCGAAACTCCTTCAACTGGTCCCATATTATTGATGCGGGGTCACCTCACCACAGCACCCATGTAACCCAAGCTGCGACCTTCACAAGGCGCATAAGGTTCCTACGCCACTTGCCCATGGCCGGCTCCAGCTAGTGCGACCTGTTAGGGTACCGAGGGGATCCCTGCCACTGATCCCGACGGTAACACTAGACTGGCATAGGAAAGGACGCAATAAAACCAGTTGTGGGCAGTAATGCCTATTTCCCACGCGAGATACGAGCTGAAGATGCGTATGTGAGCCTACAAGTTAACCGAAAGATAGTTAACGGCGCAAATTGGCGCTTAAATTTTGAAAGGGAAGAAGGGTGATGATGCAATACGCTGATGTAAAGATTCCAGGTGCGACGGAAAAGGGGCTCGATCACAACAGCCAAGGCCGTCTTTCGACGACAATGACTGCGGCCCGATGCACCAATTCTGTCGCGCCCTGGTGCCCCTGGGTGGAATGGATTGGGAATGCATCGGCGGAGAGCACCGAGGACACGCAGAGATGGGTATTATAAGGGCCCAACACCCTATCTACGGGGACACGTCGCACTAGAATGCTCTGACGACTGATGCCTGCAGCGGACCTGACTTTGGCCCTTTCCCCGACCCGATAGCTGATGACTGATACTACTAAGATATGCTAATAAAGATGTGTACTTATTGCTACATAACAGAACACTACATATTAAAGGCTTTTATGACTAACTTTACAATAGACTACATGACTACATGAGAGAGAGATATATGGATGATAAAAGAACCTACGGGCGCAACCGGTAAGATAAGCGGCGGGGCATGCGAACCGATCCTTGAGCTGACGATGGTGGTGACATGACGACCGGCTCCAACCGAGGCTGAGGACTTCGTAGACGCAACCACTCGGCGAGGCGACAGGAAGACGACTGACGATGACTGCTGGCAGATGGGCGCGAATCGAGCAGGGACGCAGAGAGCTTCCCGCACTTCTGGATGTTGCATGCGTTTGAATCATGGGAAAGTGTCTGCGTCCGTGGGAAGGCGTAGTATTCTCGTCCTCCATGGCGTGAGAACGTGACTGGAGCACGGGAATCCTATCGGCGCATACCTTGCACGTTGAAAAGGTCGTGACGAGAGTCGCGACACCTAGCTCCTCGGGATCCACCTGGAGGGACCGGGTCAAGTGTGGGATGGGTGGGCAAGGTCTCACGAAGTACAAAACACACATCAGCTAAGCGGAGCCCCGCCCACAGAGGGCGTGGCGTGCATCGAAATGAGCTGTACTGACAACCAAGACTTCAAGTTTTACAACAAAACATTTTCGATACTACAGAGCAGAGTGCGGAGCATGAAAAAGTCCGAAAAAGCAGTGCATAATGGAAATGGTCTACGAACATCTCGCTTAAACAGCGGCTCATGATTATTGTGATTTGACACATTCGAATTTCTCCACAATGAAGTTGACTCACTCACTCCAGAGTCCCTTCTTCCTCTTCATTTCACTACTTACTGACATCGGCGGCGGCTGCCTCTTTCATCACCAGCCATGGCAACGAGCTCCAATCCATGCGAAATACTGATTGACGTCTACAAGCAAATCGTTAATGTGCTTCTTGATGTTCGTGAGTCGTGGCAGCCGTCTTTTCGCTGGAATTGATGGAGTTGATAAACAGGTAGAAGACGCCTGTATGTGCCTTAATCTTTCCGACGACCAACTTCGTAATGTCATGTCAGCTCTGCGAGATGGCATGGCACTAGGTGTCAAAAAAGGAACACCAATGGGTGTTGGTCTAAAAATGATCCCATCATACGTAAGAGCTATTCCCAATGGAACAGAAACTGGCGATTATTTGGCACTGGATCTCGGAGGTACAAACTTCCGTGTGTTGCTGATTCGTCTGCGAGGGAGTGAAGCTGAGATGGTCGGCAAGATCTACGAGATTCCAACATCGATACAGCGAGGAACTGGTGAAGCTCTATTCGACCATATTGCGCAATGTATCGCGCTGTTCACCGAGGAGCAATTCGGTAAAGGTGTAAGGAAGAAGCTGCCGCTTGGATTCACTTTCTCATTCCCTTGTAAACAAGACGGCCTAACAAAGGCCAAGTTGATTCACTGGACAAAAGGATTTAGCGCTAGCGGCTGCGAAGGTCACGATGTCGTGCAATTGTTGCGAAGAGCAGTCAGAAAGCGTGGAGATGTTGACATTGATGTGGTCGCCCTGTTGAACGACACCGTAGGAACACTTATGGCATTTGCATTCAAGGAAAACAGCTGCCAGATGGGCGTCTTCGTTGGAACTGGCACAAACCCTGCTATATGGAGAAGCTAGAAAAGGTTCCAAAGCTGAAAGGCGAATGGGAAAATGATGGATTCCCGAACGAAATGATTATCAATATGGAATGGGGAGCGTTTGGTGACGATGGCAGTATAAACTTTGTAGTCACAGAGTACGACAAATATGTCGATTCCTCCAGCATAAATCCAAGAAAACAATTGTTTGAAAAAATGATATGTATATGGGCGAATTGGCCCGTATTGTGATGGAAAAATTGGCGAGGAAAGGAGTTATGTTCAAAGGAGACACTAGCGCAATCGGCAGAAAGGACTGCTTCACCACCAAG